CTTCAAACAACTCATCGTCTGTCATCTTCTTGTACCATGAGTCCACAAAGTCTCTCATTACATATGAGAGGATCTGCAAAAGGGTTTGTAAAGATATTAAGAAAGTAAAAAGTAAGTATGAAAAAATTAAACTTAAAGGAAGTAAACGCAGTTTCACACCGCAGAACGCGCATAAATCTTTGTTGATGTTTTTAGTTTATACTTGGAGATATTTTTAGTTTATACGTTCCAATATGAACTCCCCATGCACTTTTGCGATCTAACAATAGGCACGAACAAACTCAAAATATTGAAAATAAAAGTTTACAATAGCAGAGCACGGTGCTACGCAAATAGATGCTGCAAAGTTAATTCAGTGAGCGGAGTAAATGCAATTTCATTGCGAAATTAACCGATTAAAGAAATTCGATTATGTTGGCTGATAAATAAGTTCGCTTAGACTTCGAGTGTAATTTAGCTAAGATATTTTACGAGTAGTTTCAGGCCTCTACTCTCTCATAAATATCTAAATTCTCCATCTTCAATGAATGTCAATTATGCTCTCATACTTGCTGGCCTCCCAATCATCACTTTCCGACTAAACTTTATTCTCAGCTTGTATTGAGTGCATGGACGAGCAATTAGGTGGTTGACTACATATAACTTCTGGCTACATGGCAAATCACATGGAAATAGTGATCTGGTGTTTGTGATCTTCTGCATTAAAAGTGTGAAAAGTTCCGTTTTTGCGCGATGTCATTTTTAGGGCAATCCAAATCGCTTTAACTTACCACGGTCGGCAAATGGATGAAAAATTAGAGATCTTTTGTGTGGTGCAAACGTACATTTTACAACAATTAAACGCAATTTTAGTTCGTCAAAGTATAATTTCCCGAGAATTTGAAGAAAAATCTATTGTCTAGCAAAATTTTATTGTTGAAGTAATGATGGTCGCTCAAACAGAGTTGACCATCAATTGCTTGATTTACTCAGAAATGGTATGAAACTTAGAGGTATTTGCAGTGACAATTAGGTGGCTAATAATGTATTTGCCACAGCCCACTTGCAAGCGGCCCTTAGGGTCGCTAAACCATATGATTTAGGTAACCAAAAAAATAGTACATTGATTAGAGCGATAAAGACAAATAATCATGAGGTATCATAATACCGCTTGAAGTTTAGGTTAGTTCGGAGTTGATCAGACGATCTATATACCTACCTGCTCCAAAACAGCATCCATCCCAGAGCAGTTTGTCATTGAGTGAATTTGTTCATACATGGATTTGTCGTTGAAACGACCCTTGTGCCTCAGAAAAGCTTCAACACCAGGAGGAAATTTGAATTCTTTGAGAGAGTCGAAGTCTGTTCGAAGGTCTTTGGATTTTTCTTCTCCACGACGATAGATAATATAACAAAACCTAAAAATAATATAATAGCGATCAGCAAAAATTGAAAAAATTGGACTTACCCGCCAACAAAACATAGTATGCAAATGAGAAGGACAATTATTCCATCGAAACCAAACGTTCCAATAAATAAAGCTA